CAGCAAACAACATAATATCATCAACTAAGCTCTGGCCTCATGCCGCCAGAGGCATCGGTCACCAAACTACCGGAACCTGAAATAAGCATTCCCCAAACGTGGGGTGAGATCTCTAAACAAGAAATCTCAGTAAGACAAGGGGTCCTCAAGGATCTTCCACCCCAAGCTCACTTACATGTGCAATATAAGTTTAAAAGCAGATATCATCATCAGTTCTAAAATAGTACAATGCAGTAGATAATCATGTCATGTGTGTCAATTCTATTCTACTGGCCAGAGAAATGCAGGATTTATATACGTCTAATACCCACAAATAGTGCAAGACGCTACTTGCATCCACCCCGGATCACCATCTTGTATGACGCTACATACTCAGGTTTACCGTCAAGATGGAACAACACATGCATATTAAAAGCCATTACACATAAAGCTCAACAGCATTTTAAATAATCAAAGCATGTAACACAGTATGCATATAACCACACCCCCATGGGACATGGTGGAACCACAACATGGCTAAACTGAGGACACGAAAGCTTACCTTGCAAGCTAACACCCAAGGCCAAGAGTCCACAGCTCAAAGTCCAAACACAACAGATTCATAATCTGTTATGGACCAATATTATATCAATAATAATGCAACACAAGCATATAACTTAAAGACAACGTCTTTCCTTACGTTTTACGTCTTAAGGCTCCATACCAAGCCATAAGCCCTTAATCACTATGATTCTGACTTAGTTCATTAATTACAGAAGTTCAACTTCATCAATCTAGGGTCCACAAACCCCCAATAGCCTACTGTACACATAGAACAGCTATTGTTCTATGAAATCCCAGAATATCCGGATATTCCTCGGGATCATATCCGGATATGCAATATCCAGATATCTCATTGGACATATCCGGATATGCAATATCCAGATATCCAGAATCCCATATCCGGATATCCAATATCCGGATGTCCAAATCCCATATCCGGATATCACATATCCAGAAATTGCTCGGGCACATATCCAGATATTTCACGACAGAATGCAGAAACTGCATTTCGTGAAGATATCCTTCCAAGGTTAGGTTTTTACCGATTTTAAACACCTAAACATACATTTCTAGGTGTGTTTGACATTACCCAACGTTAAGTTATCATCTTTTAACCTTTACATGCATCAAGGTTCCATTTTTAAGCTTAAAGACTCAAGATCAAAGGTGATGAAGCTTACCAAAGCTCAAACTCAGAAAAAGGGTGCTCCAAGGTTCTGTCTCTCACTGTACACGAAATTGCACACCAAGGAGGGTCATTTCTTCACAAAGGTTGCTCCTTGGAGCTCCAACAACCCAAGGAAGAAGCTCACACACTCCCACAAGGCAGTTCAGACCCCAAACAGCCTCCACACAGCCACCACACTCAGGAAAAGAGCTCCTTTCACACTCACAATGATCTCTCCCACTCACCCAAGGTACAAAGTGAAGAGAAAAATGAAGAAGAGAGGTCACAAAGCTCACAAAATGGTGGTGAAACAATGTAACAGTGGAACCAGCAGCTAACCAGCCCCTCACCCACGTAGAGAAACTGTTTTCTAGGGTTTTGTGCCCTTAATAAGGGTATTTATAGCCACTTACCCAATTAACACACAATATTAACTTTAATTGCTACGCTTAGCATTTTAATCGCAAACTCTGGATTCTAAAACTACACATTTTTCCAAGAATTATCATATTTTTCTTATAATTTTCTGAGCACCTTTCCGGTACGCGCTTTTCAAAGCCAGTACCGGTTTCTAGCACCAGTTCTCATTATTTGGACTTGAAACTCGTTTACAAGTCCTACATATCATTCTAGTAATTATCATGCATTTATTATAATTTTCCAGGATACTTTTTCGGTACGCATTTATACCGACTAGCAGAACCGGTATCTGCACTTTTCTTACGAAAAGCGACTTTCAGCATTATAACTCACTTACTATAATTATTAAAGCCTCATAATAATTATTAGGGTCAATTATGGAATCATTTCCTATTTTCTCATAATTTATTAATTAAATTCCTTAATTAACGGTGCGGGTTCTTACATTCACCCCACCTTTTTAGGATTTTGACCTCAAAATCAGAAACATACCTGGTCGAAACTCGGGGTACTGCCGGAGAAGCTCGTCCTCACGCTCCCAAGTACACTCCTCAGGAGTCCTTCCGGTCCACTGCACTTTGACCATCGAAATGATCTTGCTCCTCAGCTGCTTCTCGCCACGATCGAGAATCTTTAGTGGTCTGACGGGAGTCTTTAGGTTCTCCCGAACCTCCACATCATCCGGTTGCACCACATGCGATGGATCTGCTATGTACCTCCGAAGCTGAGACACGTGAAACACGTCGTGGATGTTAGCCAGGTTCGGAGGCAAGGCAAGCCGGTAGGCAACAGGTCCTACTCTACCAAGAATCTGGTATGGCCCAATAAACCGCGGGCTCAGCTTCCTCACTCCGAGTGCCCGTCTAACATCGGTGACAGGTGAAAGTCTCACAAACACGTGCTCACCCCGCACATCTCGCCTGCCTAGTCGCCAACTGTTTACCCTTGCCCTTCCCAGCAAACCTCTTGTCCTTCCAGGACGTAGAAACAGGAGTGGAACCAACAGTCCCCTTAGTCTCGTCGACCTTGGCCCTCTTGGCCTTGCTCGCTATGCAGACATCCTCAATGTCCTTACACTGCTGAACCAGTGTACCAAAGTCCCTCGAAGCAGCTCCAGCAATATGCTCAGCAATCACCTCACTAAGTCCTCGGCGGAACTTAGCAGCCAGAAACATCGGAGTAGGAGGAACCATCCTGAAGTGTGCAAACTTCACCAGCTCATTAGACTTGGCCAAGTACTCGTCAACAGTCATCGAGCCCTGAACCAATCTGTCAAACTCCCCCTGCTTCCTCTCCTCGTTTAGAGAACATATCTCAATTATTTTTATTTTGTGTTTTAAATTTTAACTTTAAAAAAACACAAAATCACCTATTTCGTTAGCTATTTCACAAAACAGTTTTAAAAAAATAATAATAATAAAGTACAATCAAACACAGGCTCTTACTCTCTCCTCCGTGCCCGGCCCTTAAAAAAAATAAAAATAAAAAAAGCGATAGACAAAATACATTTTTAAGAGATTAGGGTCTGTATTGGCTTTAAGGAGATATCGGCATATAAAGAAAATTATACTATTTAAGATTAAAATCAATATTTAAATCTAACATTTTTGAATTTTCAAAGAAACGAGATAAAATTCCTATATGCTACACACTAATATGATGAGAAGATTACACATGGCACAATTGATATATTCACGTCATCATATGAAACTCAAAAATCTAAAATGAGATTGAAATAAAATCTAAACTTTTTAATATATTAGTCTAAAGTTATCTAAAGTGTACAACGTGTCAACGAGGTTCCAAAAAAATAAAAAATATAATGGTAAAGACAGTATTCAAACCAAATTTCACACAACCCTTATTATTGTTAAGAAATTTAATTTAGATCTGGAATGGAACAAAAATTATGTGTATTCACATTGGGAAAAATATTTCCAGTTACTGCAGATAAATTATCTGTATTTTTTCTAAAACGATGTTGTTTTGATAATGAAATCTTAAAAAATTATAAATATAAAAACTATTATAATCCTGAAATAAATTAAAATTACAATACACCACGATTTTCGTCCCAAAATGACTTCGTATTGTACTTACTGTAGATAACTTATCTGCAATAACTACAAAAAAAACAACTCATTCACATTATCAAAAACTTTTTATTATGATTACTACTTGAAGGATCAAACTCTTTTTTTAAGTACATATATGGGGCAAAGCCCAAAAACAAGAAAACTAAAAAATAGGGGTGAAGTCTAACTCAGGCCCTGCAACAAGGGAGAGGTCCTGAGGAACAGAAGGAAATTTTTTAAAGACTTGACTCCTACGAAAAGCAAATGCAGCCATCCAATCGGCACAACGGTTGGCCTCTCGGCGTGTATGCTGGAAGCCTACGATAGAACAAGTTGACATAGAGCTCATTTGGATGAGTTTTTTTTTTTTTTTTTTTCCAAAAGCTGCTTTTTTTTATAAAAAAAAAAACACTTCTCGAAAAAAGTCTATTTGGATGCCTGCTTTTAAAAAAAACAGAAGTCATAAAAAAGTTAAAAACCTACTTTTTTCGGAAGCTAAAAATTTTAGCTTTTAAAAAAAATAAAAGTCAAAAGCCAAATGTTTTTCTCAAAAATCAAATATTTTTTTAAAAATCTAAATAGCTGTAACTTTTATAGAAAATACTTTTAAAATAAAAAAGTGATAAAAAAATACTTTCTTAAAAAAGCCAATACAAACGAGCTCATAGTGTATTGCTAGAGTGCAGGTTGATCCATGGCTTAGAGTTTGATCCATGTGATTGCAATCTCATGAATCAAACTCTTTTAATGATATATATGACATAAGTTGTTAATAAATTATTTATTTTTGACAATAAGTCAGTGCATAAGTTATTTATATCATCCAATTCTGTATATACAAATCATTACCAGAGCATGATTATCACAATTATAAAAAAAAGTCAGCTTTAATAATGTATCCACACATTCTTAGGTAATAATGTAAAAAAATTCACAATAATTTTAGATCAAAGTTACAAAATGCCGCAGGCTTGTAATCTTTTGCACGAAATTTTGTATTACGGTAACTATTTGCACCTTTTACAAGTAGATTGAAGGAGTCTAGCAAATTTTTGTTTTAAAAATTTTTCTGCCAACAGCAGTTTGCATAAGCGCAATGGCAAATTGGCAATTATAGGATGCTGAACGTGCTAGCGGTGAATATGCAAGAAGCAGTAAAAATTCCAACAAAGATGGGAAGTAAGATTTCAGGCCCACAAATGAAGCATTAGAACTAAGGAGATTATGGTATTACGCAAAATTAGGCTCCTTGCTTACTAGGAAGTTGCCAGATATAGAAATTGCTATATCGGATTCCTTTGAAGCCTAAAAAAAATCGAATAATGACGGTGACTAGACTATACCCTCAAGCCAGATGCAATATATACAATTTCCAGATGAGACTTGCAAGTAGATAATAACAATTAGCAAAGGCAAGAAGAGGGGATGAGTCTAGATCATCAGAAAAAATTATCTATAATTGACCAAAACAGTGAACTCCAACCTATATTCTTTTCTTTGCAGCAGCCCTCAGATTTCTATAAATTGAAAGTTGAAATGGAGATGGACTTCTCAGAAGTATTTGTATAATTTTGATATGATGTTCAAGGTCTACGCCGTTCCAGAGAAAACACCCTTGCAATTACTCGATTTACTTCCCAAGCTTCTTAGCTGCAATCCAGGGATCAAAGGGTTAACAAGAAATCCCATGCTAACATTCTCAAGAGTGGTTTCATTAATGGCTCGTTGAATGATTAAGCTTTGGAATAGTGTAGTTCTTTATTATTCTTTTAATGATTTCAAGTCTACGCACAAAAATGAGGTAGAATAGATAGAACAGTAATGCCATTATACCTCTTTGAAACCATGATCTACGGACAGTTTGCCGGATGTGACGCTCATGCTTTTCTAATAGCTCGTCAACTGTGTGCATTTGAGATAGTAGGGGTCCCGAAAAATCAACTTTTTCTCCTTGATCCTGGTAAAACTGAGGAGGGCAATAAAAAAGAATCATGTCTACGCAAGGACACAAAATGCACATGGTCCAAGAATTTTATACAGGTAGGGCAAAGCACAGTAAGGTAAACAAATTCCTAGGTAAAACTGAAGAGTATCAGCTTTGTCATGTATTGATCATTTATGATCATATGACAGCAAATACACAAGAAATTTTTTTGTTAAAACAATATATTATTATCTGTAAAATTGAAACGGGTCCCTAGTCTTTGCTATTGGCCTATTCCTTTAACAAATTAAAAGTCGAGAAAACAATTACTTTATCTAAGGAGTAGTAGATCGATCAATTGAATTGTTTGTCACCTAAGGAAGAAATTTAGTTACAAGCCACTGGTCTAAAACAATGCCATTATTTCATCAAAATTTGTCTTTATACAATTTTTAAAGTTCAAAATAATTCCCTGCATCATAATAAATTCCTAATTTCCTCTTTTATTTAGCACTCCATATCAATCTCTACACATGGAGACAGAATAATATGTAGGAAGAGTCAGATAAGTTTCATTTCAACTTACAGATGATGAGATCTCATGTTCAACACTATGATAGAAAATCTAGCCAACTTACAAACTTACCGGATTACTTCTCTTGGATACTGAATCTTCTCTATGATAAAGCGCCATAGACAGTTCTTGCGAGTGGTACTCATCAGAAGCATCAAATGAATCTGGACGCTCAAACTTAATCCATTGATTCTGCATTGGAAGCTTAGAAATTTCAAATAGGTCATGGTCCCTAGAGTTGGTGCGTCCCCCACAAAACTCCTTATTTTCCTGGTTTATGGTATCCAAATTGTTCCTTGAATTCAGTGTGGAAGCTTCTGATGGATTGAAAATATGTCCTCTTGACATAGTTCGACAATGGGATCGAATTGAAGTGTCATCTTTCCGGCTTTTTGCCCATGCAAAGCCACTTGAGGTTGAAACCTGTAATGGTCCAGAGAAGGGAATATCTCCTTGAGATGCATTCTTCATATGGGAAGCATCTTCAGGTTTATCAACGGATGGCTTTGGTGCCTCCTCTCCGATGTTAGTCTTCCCTTCTTTAAGGATGCGGGCAGGTCTATCACTGACCTTCTGGGAAGTCTGAGTTTGACTTGCCAAATCCTGTAAGAGAAATATTTAGTGAGAATTGGTTTTAGGTAATTAGACCATTCCTGTAAATCAGTATGCATGCAAACGAAAAGAAACACCACGATGCAAGAAGACAAAGCAAGATAGACCTCTGCTTGGACTGACTTTCTTGATGATTTCCTTGTTTCAGTTCCACGAACTCGTCCACCAATCTTTTTCCTGAAAGTTCATCACAATATGATTTCATGAAAAAAGCTCAAAGACAATACAAATGTAATGCTTGCGAAAATGGAAATCGTAAAAATAAATTTCATTCGTGGTACGTGCTGAATACTGTTGAGAGATGGAGTGTATAAAACAAAATGGAGTATTCCATTCTCCCTTGGAACAGGCATTAGTCCTTTTAATATATTTATGTTATTTTGACAAAAACAACTATGATTTGCTTTTCTCATCTTTTGAAAACATATAGTTCTAGTCTCAATAGTTGACTTACTTTTAATCACTTCATTGTTAATTTACTGCACGGGTATGTGCATTCAAATGAATTTTGGAAATAAATAACCATTCATAATCTCTCCCTGTCATTCGATGCCAAAAGCTAGACTGTGATCAAGTTGTCAAAAAAAAAAAACTCTATAATGGATCAACTTAAGAAATCCAATTATGGTAGTAGTAGACTCAACCAAGTGAAATGCACGTGAAGATATTCTCTTATTTTGATCATACCAGATAAGAGGTAATCCAGAGACATAAGTTGAAATATAACCTAAACCTTTATTTTCCAGTAACTCTGTATAAAACGAACAGTGAAGGGTCTCACCTTGACTCCTCCCTGTGTTTTGCATCAATTTCCTTGCTGGGTGGGTATATCGGCAAGCTTGATGGGTCACATGCATAAGGTTTTGTTTTGAAATACTGAAAGTAGTAAGGTAGTTGTATCAGAAGACTAGAAGAGTCCATATCATATTTAATGATTCACATAGTCATAAAGTTTGCAGAAACATGACGGATGGGTTTGTTTATTGGACTAATATTAGAAAAAGCAATTGATTAGCATGCATAGATACACATACACCCAGAAAATTGCCCAAATAGTATTATCTAATTCAAAATGGACAAGGTAAATCAACAGGCAATGTTCTGCAAAAAAGATTAATTCTATATAGAAATTATTTTTCCTGGCCATTTCCAATGGAAAAAATGACATTTCAGGAATTTCCAACAAATACAAAATTAACCTACCTCTGATGAGAGAGCAGATGTAGCAGTCCCACGTTTGTATGGTTCGACAGAAAGAAGAGTTTGTAGCAGATTTACACTAGCGGCAGGCAAATATTTAAAGGAATCTCGGAGGCAACTATCATATGGTTGCTGTGGTTTAAACAAAGTTGGATGAGGAAGTTTAGTCTTTTTCCAGAATTCATCAGGTGGGGAGCCACAAAGCTTGAAAATTTTGTGCAATTGTTCAACCTGAATATGTAACAAAAAAGAATTTAGAAGAGTTTCAAAAGAACAATTCAAACATAGTGTGGGAATTGTCGTTTCCAGTTTATTCATTTTAACTTATTAGCAGCCATCTAACGTTTTAAGAAGTGATTTTCAGACTGAATCACTTCCTTCTTTAACAGACAATGCAAATAGGTATCACATTCTTTAGTTTGATCACATTCTCCACTTCATCCATATCAAAAAATAGAATGGTGGCAACCCTAAACAACTGGACAAGAAATGATAGCATCAATTTCAAAAGGACCCATTGACAGATTTCCGTGAAACCTCATGCAATAGGTATGAGACAAAAATTTCAGCTCTGTTCAATTGTTGGCTGCAACAACATAGAATTAAATTTGAAATTTACAATGCAACTCAGATATAAGTAATATGCAATGCAACTCACGTTGTAAGCATGACCTATATTTAGGATTGTTAATTTTTCAGAAAGGGAGAAAAATGGTGAGACTGATATCTGGTGGACATGCAGTGTAAGGCTTGCTCTTGAAAGTTAAAAGTTTTAATTTTTTTCCTTAAAGTGAAAGTGGTAAGGATGGCGCATACCACAGGGCCATCCAAGCATCTGACCCAATTCCTATGTCAACATTCCTGGGTTTCAGTTTGCAAGCTGCATGTCGCTTACGTTTGATAAGATCCAGGAGCTCTTTTTAATTGCTATGCACCACAAGGATTGACCAATAATGTGCACATTAATTTATGAAACTTTCTAATTGAATTGCAATCCCAAAAGGTTCTATATAAGCATAAAGGTATGCTAAAAAATAAAGCATTTCTACATCAAGCTATCTTATTCTGAGAAGGAAATGGAGTCTTCACCATAGGGAGATAGAGAGGATATTAAAAAGTTTCTGAACTGAAATCTTACTGCACCTTGCTGGCAATAGTTATATGCATTGATATTGTTTTAAGTAGTTTGAAAATTGTAAAAGCTTAACAAAGAAACTCAAATGTCCATGCCACTCTACAATCAGGATGATCATATCGAGTGTAGTGTGGTGATGGACACTACCTCAAATTCATATTTTGTTTCCTTTCTTACTTAATTTAAGCTTATAATATAAAATTCATCCTATAAGGTTTGCCATTTTTCTCTAATAAGATCTAATAAACTTCGCTACACTAATATTCATCATGATAAGGGAATGAATCCGGAAAGGTTCCTACCTCAGTTCTCCCCTGAAGTATAGGCTTCCCAACAAGTAGCTCCGCGAAGACGCAGCCAACACTCCAGATATCCACAGCTGGACCATAATCAGTAGAACCCATCAAAAGCTCCGGAGGACGGTACCACAAAGTAACAACACGACTAGTGAGGGGATGCCTCAGCCCAGAATTAGAGAAATTGGCCAATCCAAAATCCCCCACCTTCAAAACCCCTTTATTATTCACCAGAAGATTTGATCCCTTGATATCACGGTGCATCACACCCTTCGAATGACAATGCTCAATACCAGATAACAACTGCTTCATATAGCACTTAATCTGCACAAACCAAACATAAATATAGCATCACAACAAGTTCATCTCTTTTCAATTATAACATAACATGACATGACATTAATCATTACCTGTGGTTCAGTAAACTTGATATCAGGAGTATATAAGAGCCCTGTAATGTCATGCTCCATGTACTCAAACACAAGGTATATGCTACATGACAATTTCGAAGTAATCAAACCCTCTAACTTTATGATATTTGGATGATCAAGCCTCCTCAGAATCATTATTTCCCGTGCCATGAACCTCACACTCTCTGGCTCAAAATTATCAAAACGCACCTTCTTCAATGCCACTATCTTCCCCGTCTCAATCTCCCTCGCTCGAAAAACATTGCTATACGTACCCTGCCCTATCTGTTCACATCAAAATCACCATAATCAACACTAACATAAACAATAATAATAATAATAACAAGAAGAAGCTTGTTTTCTGAATTATTATGTTACGAACCTTCTCGAGTTTCTCAAAGGCATCGGAGCGTAGCGGAACCCAGCCGTGAATGGCTTCGCAGGCGACGGCGCTGAGCCAAGCCGGCCAGCCAGCTGCCACGTGTTCGCCTTGCACGTACTTGTTCAGGTCCCCTAACCTGAAGCTCAAGGTCTCGCAGGCAACAACGGCATTGGAACTCGCTCTACCAGACTCACCGATTTCGCTCTGACTCGCTCTACATGACTCAGTCTTCTTCTTCTTCTTCTTCTTTTTCTCCGACTCGTTCACCACCGCATTGCTCCGAAACACGCCCGAGAGGTCAATTGTTGGCGTCACCAACACCGCATCCTTCGAAGTCACACAACCCATTGAATCCTTGTCAACAACGACACTGCGTTTTGTTACTTTTGTATAAGTAGCAGAGCTAAGCTAAGCTAAGCAAAGCAAAGCAATTCATTTCAATGGTTCCTCAAATCGAAACGCGGAATCAGTAACGGAATGTTTATGATATGATATTTTCAGTGCTGCAGCGATGATTGCGGAGATTGTGGACAAAAGCATTTTTATCAGGAGGGAGTATTATAAAATAAAATATTTTTTTTAAAAAAGGAAGAAATAAAATAAATAGAAGAGACAAACGAAATCAGTGGAGAGATATGTATAATGGAAACAACAACTCTGTGTATTCAATGTTTTTTTTTTTTTTGGAAATTACCTAAAATATGAGTTTTGGGTTTTTAGCTGTGACCTTATATTCTCTGCATTTGTTTGCATTCTTATTTTATTTTAGTTTATGTTTGTGAGTCAATGGATTTGAAATTATATGAAATTTGTTTGTTTGTTTGTGGTGTGTTGTTACTAAATGGCGAAGAAAAGAGAGAGGGGCTGGAATCAGGAATGGGTGGGATTGTGATTATTTTGGATTTAGAAAGCGCGTGGGTGATCATGAAATGTAATGATTCCATTCAATAAATTAACTCTTCGTTTTTTTGTCATGTCACATCACAAGATTATTTTTTTCACACACAAATCAAGTGTGGGTTCCACGCTTAAAAAAAAAAGTCAAACCAAAATCACGATACGGCGCCGTATCCTCAAGATACGTTGCCGGATCCTTGTTGCAGGAATGAACAGTGTTGCAACATGATTCTTATATTTCCCATCAATTAATTGCTAAATCAGTGTTGCTTGCGTCTTAGGTGGCTGTGAAAGTAAAAAGAGGGCCTTGAAGGCCGTAGCATGGGAGAGGGGAAAAACAAAATTTCTCCGCAAGCGGAATACACATGCATATCAAGATACATACTTTAAGACGTATGTCATACCTTGTTCGTGAAAAACTCAAGACGATCAAAGGTAGGTCTGAAGGGTTCAGACCCTCTAACGTTGATCCACACCACCTGCGTCTAGATACAGGAACTCCTTCCAGTAAAGCCGTCAATTGATCACCACAAAGAGACTTGCTATTCGCTCAATATGTGATGAGAGGAGGCTATGTAAAAGTGTTTGGAAGAGTGAAGTTTTCTGAGAGAAAACCTCACAAAAATGGCACAGGAAATTAGGAGAGAATGGCTTGGTTGGTTTTTTAAAAACCCTAGAAGGAACATATATAAAGAGGCGCACAAGAGGAGCATATTTGTTAAAAACAAATCAGATTTTTAATCAATAAAAATCCCTTCCCAAAAGGCGCTCCATCAAAGAGAGAGAGAATAGGATTTGTTGCAAATCAAATCTCATCAAATCTTGCCAACAACATCCTATCATATCTTTATGATATATTAGGTTCAAAACCTAATCAAATATCTGATCATAAATCATCATATAATCAGTTATATGGTGCGCCCCATATAGCCTAAATAATGACCAGATACATTTGAGTAATCAAATAACTCAAATATTCTCTCAACAGATTGTATCTTCTGGAGCTGATACTGATGACTAATCATCAGCCATATTAGCGCCCCATATCTCCTTGGATTATGTCAAAGAGATTTTCTCTTGATATGTTCCAATAAGATCTAATCTTGTTATGTTCCAACAAGATCTTATCTTGTCTTTTTCAAACAAGATCTTATCTTATCCTTTTTCGTAATAAAACAATTTTCATAGCCAATTCTAATTTAATTATTAAATTCAAATATTAAAATATTCAAATTTAAACTTTCAAACATTCAAATTTAAAATTCAAATTTCAAAATTTCGAATTCAAAATTCAAATTTCAAAATTCAAATTTTAAATTTCAAATTTCAAATTCAAAATTCAAATTCAAATTTTAAATTTCAAAATTCAAATTTTAAATTCCAAAATTCAAAATTTAAATGTTTGATAATTAATTAATTTAACTAATTAAATTAATTAGTAATGACTTGGATCCACCCCTTTAGGTGGAGTTCCAAACTACTTCTTGGGCTAATAACTATTATAAGGCCCAATACTTTTAATGCTAGAGCATCTAGACAATTAGGTGTTTGTGTGTGACCCATTAGGTCCAACATAGCCACTTTTATTTATTTGCGACAATATTAAAAAGGTCTACATCTATGTCCTTATTTAATCATAAGATTGTCTATAGGACACCCAAATACTAACAGGCTGTTGCTGACTTAAAAGGTCGTTTGATTAGTTTTCTATTTTCTTTTCATTTAAAAATTTGAAAGTTTTCTATTTTCTTTTAATTTAAAATTTGAAAGATGTTTTCGTTCATACATCATTTCACAGCTAAGTGTGAAATGAAATAAGAAGGAAGATAATAAAAATGAGAAATTCTTTTGCAATTCGATCCCATCATATGAATGTGATAGATCATATGGAGTTATGTTTATTTCTCAATTATTTCTTCAAAATCACTTTTTTTATTATAATTATCATTATTTTAATTTTTTAAATTTTTTTAACTTTTTTCTTATAAAAATAGTAATCAAGTCTTGAATATTTATAATATATATGACACGTAATTTTACTCAATTATTCCTCATTCATCTTCTAATATTTTACAAAATTTTGAGCATCAAAATTTGTTGAATTGATTAAATTTTTTTTAATCAAAATTGGGGTTCTGATATCGCAGTGAGAGAAAAGTGAGTTTCTCAATGGCAGATCCTGGTGTTGATGATGCTTCTGGTGTCGATGATGTTGCTGCTACTGTGACGCAACCATTGTTAACGAGTTCATCGTCCATTGCATCTTCAATGGTGCCTGATTACTACACAAATCCTTCTCATCCATTTTTTCTACATCCGAACGAATCGCCGTCCACAGTTCTGGTTCCTCAATTGCTTAATGGAAACAACTATCATACGTGGGCTAGAGCGATGACTGTAGCTCTTATTTCGAAGAACAAGATAGGTTTTATTGACGGTAGTATTAATCCACCTTTGGAAATTGATTCTTCTTATTTTGCTTGGCAGAGATGTAATAATATGGTGAATGCATGGATCCACCGTTCAATTTCGCAATCAATCGTTCAATCGATCATATGGATTGAAAAGGCTAGAGATGTATGGATTGATCTTTGTAATAGGTTTTCTCGTTCTGACATTTTTCGAATCTCTGACCTTCAAGAAGAGATTTATCGTTTAAAGCAAGGAGATAGAGATGTTACAGTGTATTTTACTGAGTTGAAAACCTTATTTGATGCATTGAATAATCTGAAACCATTGCCGATTTGCAATTGTGCTGTTAAATGTTCATGCGGTGGATATATAAAGATGAAAGAATATCGTGAAAGAGATCATATCATAAGATTCCTCAAAGGATTGAATGAGCAGTACTCACAAGTTCGATCTCAGATAATGTTACTCAAGCCTCTACCTGATGTTAGTCAAGTTTTTTCGATGGTAGCTCAACAAGAGCGTCAATTTCAGGGTGAAGGTCGTGCAGGTAATTCCATGAATAACCAATCTTTTGCTGCCTTTTCTGATACTGGTTCTTTTCGAAGAAATCATGGTGCTCTTGGTGCTCGAGGTTTTAGAGGCAGAGGCAGAACTCCTTTCAACAGTCACAATGGAGGTCGTACCCAACTTATGAGGATTTGTACTCATTGTGGTAGATCTAACCATACTGTAGAGACTTGTTTCCACCTTCATGGTTTTCCACAGGGATACAAGACACGCACTGCAGTTCCCCATGCTGCAAATAATGCAATGGGGAACACTACTGATAATTGGCTTCACAAATCCGATTCCTCTTCCACTGTTACTCTTTCCAGTGATCAGTATCAGCACATTCTAACTTTGCTTGAGAAGAATACTATGGCTTCCAACATTACTCCTCCTGTAACTCATGCTACGAATTTCACTCAAGTTTCCAATCTCAACACTGAATTGATAACTCAGCCAGGTAACATAAATATTCATTGGATTTTAGACACTGGTGCCACAGATCATGTGACATGTTTGAGATCTCAGCTCACACAATTGACAGAAATCCAACCTATTTCAATAAATCTGCCCAATTGATCCACAGTTCTTGCAGAGTACTCAGGCACTGTTCACATTTCACCCAATCTTGTTTTACTTGATGTTCTTTATGTTCCACAATTTAGAGTTAATCTCATTTCTGTTACAAAATTGCTAACCACCACCCCATGTACCTTAATTTTCCATGCTTCCTATTGTATTATACAACAGATCCATACCCAAATGAAGATTGGTATTGCTGAGCAACACAATGGGCTATATGTGATCATGGGAAAGAATATCAAAGGAGTGTCCTCGATGAAGAATATCAGTAGTGATAGAGATACTCAAGTCTGTAATGTATGAAATCATAATTCAGTTCTTTGGCATAAAAGACTTGGCCACATGCCACATACTGTAATGAAGCAAATGTCTGTTAGATTCCCTTTTATTTCTTTTGATTGTTCAAATCCTTGTGATACTTGTCATTTGGAAAAACAGAAACAATTGCCATTTAATATTTCTGAAACAAAATCACTACGTAGCTTTCAGCTTATTCATGTTGATATTTGGGGCCCTTTTGCCACTGCTTCTCTTGAGGGTTATAGATATTTTTTAACCATTGTGGATGACTACTCTAAATTTACCTGGGTGATGTTAATGAAAGTGAAATCCGAGGTTGCAGCTCATATACAGAATTTTGTGGCTTTTGTTGAGACCCAATTCAAAACAACAATCACTGTTATTAGAAGTGACAATGGCAGGGAGTTTTTTATGACTGATTTCTACTCACAAAAGGGTATTATACATCAATGTAGTTGTGTAGAGTGTCCTCAACAAAATGGTACTGTAGAGAGGAAACATCAACATTTTTTGAATGTGGCTAGATCACTTCTTTTTAGTCCAATATACCAATTTCTCTTTGAAACTATACCATCACACATGTTGTCCACCTTATTAACCGAACTTCAACCCCCATTTTGGTTCACAAAACCCCTTATGAAATCCTTTACAATCAGCCACCACCATTTCTTCATTTGAAGGTCTTTGGTTGCCTTGCTTTTGCTTCAACACTTCATGCTCATCGTTCTAA